TTAATGAGCAATCTACCCGACATTCTTCTCCTATCAACTTAATTAATTTATGCTCATTACTTGGTGCTAAACTTAAGACCTGACCCTTCAAATCATTCATTTGTTTTGATCATGTTTTGATCATCCCTTTACTGAGTTCTGTAACTTTATTACATATCAATTTACGATTTTGAGGCGACAAATCAGAGGTATTTACATATTGAATCACCTGGCCCCACTCTCCAGTGACTCTGGTTAGTTTTCCGCTTGTGCATTCTTTTTATGAAAATCTCTGCGATGCTCAGTGCTGCCAGAGTCAATACATGATGCACAACCTATTGGACGTCTCCTAAAATCTTTGGGTTTGTGTAATGCCTCTGTTAAAGTAGCATTAAGTTCTGAAACAAATGCACTTTGTTCAGCTATGGTATGAGATTTTACTTTCATTTTCTTAATAGAATTTAATTTACTATCACGTTCATTCACCTTTTGTTCAATATATATGAGTTCTCGAATCAACACATCATCAGGAACGTTTTTCTCCCCAAGAAATGTTTTCGTATCAGTACGAACAGTATCAGATAAAAACCCTGTCAAAACAGTTCTTTTGAAAATTGAATTTACCAACTCAGGATCATATGAACACTTCCATTCTGATTTGATGCAAATAGAACCTTTTGGCGTAGATCCATGCAACGCATCATAAAGTCAATTGCACTCTCATTCTCACTTTGAGTAGCACTACTGAGAGTGTTAAATAATTCAGTTCCTGACTTTTCGTTGTACTGAGCACACAAAATTGACTTCAGTTGTGCCAAAGTCAGATTTGGACGACCCTCTAAGTAATTTCTAAGAGTTGAACCTGGTTGAGTCTTCAGTGTAGTTCTTTTGACATGCTACTTCAATTTTTATCTCATAAAGGAGATAGTCTTGATTTGATCTTGAATCTTGACTGTTTTTTTGGAAAAAAAGTAGCTAGCTTTGTTTCAAAAAACATATCACTTATTTCATCCGGAGGAAAAGCCGTCGGCTCAATCGCGAAAGCCGGAAAGAGTATAAGCGACACAGTGAAACAATCTAACGAGTTGAAAGAATTACAACTAATAAGAGATATGCGAAACAGGAGATTAGAAGATAGGAAAGGAAAAGGTTTTAAAGTTATAGGATAAAAAAGATGATTATCCCTCACGCTCCAAAAACTTATTTTGGTTCATATATACAAAAATCATTGGGTTCTCTTCCTGGATTTCCATGGGCAAAATATCCCGGAGAAAAACATCTTCCTGGTCATAATTACACCGGTCCAGGTACCAGGTTAGATCTGCGATTAGACAAAAACGATAAACCCAAACCCGGCGAAGAACCAGTCAATAGAGTTGACGCCGCTGCGCTTAAACACGACATACTATACAGAAACAAAGACATAAACTTCAGACACGAAGCAGACAGACAAATGATAATCAAACTTGAAAATATTCCAAATCCAACTTTCAAAGAGAGAATACAAAGGGCTCTGATCATAAAACTGTTAAAAGCATAGATGAAATTGTCCATGGGATTAGCGGATGAAATTCATAAAGAATTTAGAAAAACTAAAAACTTTTTAAAAGTTAAAGTATTTGAAAAAGATGGAATATGGTCAGCCGATATTATTAATATGCCAGTCGAAAGAGGATATAAATATTGCTTAACAGTTATAGATTTGTATACGAGATATGCTTGGGTTATTCTATTCTATTATTTTATAACAAAAATATGAAATCACTTACAGCACGCATAATGAAGGTAAAGCTGTAGTTATTGAGAGTTATAATAGAACTCTAAAAAATAAATTATTCAAAAAGTTCACGGAATTGAAATCTCAAAAATGGCTTAATATATTACCAGAGGTTGTAGATGAATACAATAACAAATTCATTCATCTATAGGTGTCCACCAACACAAGCCTCTAATAATCCAAATATTATAAAGTCAATTAAGGCACAACATAACTACGAAAATGAAATAGAGAATTTAAATATCAAACCCAAATTTAAAGTCAGAGATTGAGTTCGTATTTTCAAATATAAAAGTAAATTGGAAAAAGGTTACGTTGGATACTGGACAAACGAAATATTCATCGTTGATAAAGTAAACACCACATCACCTGCACCGTATGAATTAATCGATCAAGATAAAGAACAAATCATAGGTAGGTTTTATCAAAACGAATTTCAAACGACTTTTAAAAATGAATGAATTTCTCGAAAACAAAGATGATGATGAAGAATTTGATAGAAGATTAAGAAATTTAGACGTAGACAAGCATTTACGCTTTCTCAAATTTAAATTTTTTAAATTTAAATGTAAATTTATGTTCAAAATATTATTGAATGTGTTTTATCAGAATGTTATACAATTTTTTTCAAACACAAACTACGTATATATTTCATCAATTGGGTTTTCAACAATACTTACCGCATACTCCTCAAAAAACCGACTTTTAAAATTGGCGATGGAAGTGTTTTAAAAGAACCGGTAAGAAATCTTGCAAATGTTGCTGATTTAGCTAGAGTGAGAGTTGTTGCTCGAAACACAATAGAAAGAGTAGCACGAGCAGCTAATCATGGATTCGAAAAACGAGGACTTCAGTCTAATAATGTTGTTGAAAATAATAGGTGGGGTAATTACGTAAATTGGAAATTATATCCTATATTCGGTCTGTTGGAACACAGAAAGGTTTCCATAGGGTTACCATATAAAATTCATCTACAAAGAGAAATCAACGATGATAAGATATTCTTTGGAGAGAATGCTTCAAATGCAAAATTAGAAATAACGAATCTCCAACTTGTCATACCCGTAATAACACCATCAATTGAAGTAGAAACGATAATATTCATTAACTAAAGATATTGAAATAGTTTTTCTTCATCGTAATACGGTAGGTAGCATGACTTTCACTGGAGAATCCACCACATGGCCAATCACTAACACTAATAAACCAGCAAGATATTTAATGGTTGGTTTCAAGAACTTACCAGATTCTCAAACGAATAACAATAATGTCTTCAGAGTGGCAATGAACCAAACTCAAGATCCTTTAATCCATAAAGTTCAAGTAAGATTAAACAACGATAATTATCCTAACCAACCTTTAACAATTAATCCAACCACAAAGGATTATAATAAATTGTATAGAAACTATAAAAAATATGTGTGAATTATTTGGAAATTCACCTCAGTTTGAATATGTAGATTTTGCACTTAATCATCCAATCTTCTGTTTTGATCTATCATCTCATCAAGAAGAATGATAAGAATTGAGTAAAAATACACCCTTAAAAATGAAACCAGAATCTTTAGTTATGAAAATAATACAAGCTATTGAAACAGCTTCCCCAACTGTAATAACTTTCAATGGTAAAAAAATCAGCATAACTAAAAAACGTATTGATAATCACAAATATTGTAAAGTCAGAGACGATATAGACTTAGAAAGAATTGACGCGAACGCAAAAGAAAGTGGATTTTTACCTTTCCTACTACCTTTAATATTTGGTGGTATTGCAGCGGCGGGTGCAGCAACTGGCGGAATTTCTGCCATAGTCACAGCTGCCAACGCAAAGAAAGCAGCTGATGCTAAAGCCGCTGAAGAACGCAGACATAATTTAATAATGGAAAGGGAAGCCAAGGGTTCAGGAGTGGGAGATATGATAGGCACAATAAAAGAATTTGGAAAAAGAAACCAAGAAAACTGTTAAACAAGGATTAAATAAATTAGTAGATAGTATTGACACAGGAGAAGTCAAAGTCAAACATAAGGGTAAGAATATCTTATCATCGTTGATTTCTCTTTGTAGATGAATTTTATATGGTAACCCTATGGAAACCTTTCTGTGTTCCAACAGACCGAATATAGGATATAATTTCCAATTTACGTAATTACCCCACCTATTATTTTCAACAACATTATTAGACTGAAGTCCTCGTTTTTCGAATCCATGATTAGCTGCTCGTGCTACTCTTTCTATTGTGTTTCGAGCAACAACTCTCACTCTAGCTAAATCAGCAACATTTGCAAGATTTCTTACCGGTTCTTTTAAAACACTTCCATCGCCAACATCGGGTATCCAGCCTGAGACTGAATCGAAATCTTTAGGATATAAAACCGTTTTCAAATTCCCCAGGGTGTTTAATTGTTTCTATCGGATTTGAACCAGCTTCCAAAACCATCTCTCTAAATAAAGATGGAAAGAAATTGTTTTCTAACGTTGTAATTGTTTGTGGTACACGATTTTCATTGGGAGTTCCATCTTTAATTCTGAAATCACATCTGAAATAAGCATCGGAAAGAAGCAACCAATTTGATAATGAATTTATTTCGAAGGTAATTCTACCACTATCATTCAATTGGGATTTAGAACCAACAGTCGGTGAGATGATAATATAATCCTCTTTTTTCTTGTTAAACGAATAACGAATCGGATCGTAAAATCTAAAGATTGGATCTAGTATTTCATTTGCCATTTTTAAGGTTTAAAAATTGAGTAGAAAATTGTTTTTCCAAAAAAAGAGTTATCCCCCTTCTAGAAGTTTCTAGACTAGAAATAACATTACTTAAAAACGAGGCTATTAAAAAACCGGATGTTATGTTATTTTATATAAGGGTATTTTTAATATGCTTTTTTTTTGATGGAATGTAAGAATTAATTGAAGGTGTTTTTGGTCTAAGAATTTATGAAATGTAGGGTGTTTAGGTGAAAGAATTTATGAAATGTGGGGAGTTTATGTGTAAGAATTTATGAAATGTAGGGTGTTTAGTTTTTTTTTAGTGTAAGAATTTAGGGTGTTTAGGTCTTTTTTGGGACCTTTCAATTTTGAAACTTTTCAAATTGAAATGTCCTATACTACTTGAATTCATTGATATATATAATTACTGCCAGTTATTTATGCTGAGAAATCCCACCAAAAAATCAATATCAATAATCCAATCAATATACATGATCACACTATGTTTCATTAAAATCAGTTGAAAACTGTAGTCTCTAATGTGTTCACAAACAAATTTTGACGCGTTTTTCCCAAATCAAGGGCAATAACTCAAAAACCGTTATTGAAAGATCGTCAAATTCGAACTTGACCAAGATCTCATTAATATGAATGATCACACTAAATTTCATTAAAATCAGTTGAAAACTGTAGTCTCTATTGTGTTCACAAACAAATTTTGATGCGTGTTTCCTAAGTCAAGGGCAATATCTCAAAAACCGTTCGTCGAAAGATCGTCAAATTCGAACTTATCCAAGATCTCATCAATATGAATTGTGAAATAAACGACAACAATGGCGTTCTACTAATGTTTATTAACTGAAGGTCGCTACATGTCATTACAAATCGCTTATGTTTAGACAATAAATAAGAACTAAAATAACGTTGCATCGCCTTTGTAAAAATGTAAACAAACTGAATAGCATTACATCTCCCTTATAAAATACTTCCCCGTCCCTGAAAAGATCATGACTAGAACAAACATAATATATGCATTACAATCTATTTGATTAGAAAATAACATGTAAAAACAGTTTATGTACAAACATAGTCCTCAAGATGTTTTGGTCGTCTCGATGTTCGTTGTGGTCGGTTTTCTCGGAGTAGAGAGTTAAGTGTTCCCTCTTGTGCTTTCGGTGAAGTCGGGATGATGTCGTTGTAAGGCAGTTGCGGTGGATTATCTAATATATTGTCGGGGTGGATTATCTAATATATTGTCGGCATCATCACGAGCGGTACTCGGCAACGAAGTCTCGCCAGTCTTTAGTAGTTGTCTACGATTCCTTCTATATAACTTGTTATTTCCGATGCGCACTATATATGATCTTTCAGGTAGCTTTTGATCAACAATGGCCGGTTCCCATTGTTTTGTGTCTTTCTGTACGCGAATGATTTCGCCTGGTTTAACACATGGTAACGGTACTGACTGGCGATCATAATAAAATTGTTGTTTCTGCTGACGTGCAATAAGATCTGGTTTACGGGACTCCGTAACTTTGGAATTCAATAGATCGGATGTAATAAGTAACTTTGTACGCAACTGTCTGTTCATGAGTATCTGAGATGGCGAAAGTCCTACACCATCGATTGGCGACGCCCGATAGTTCATTAGGCTAGTGTACATATCTCAACCTGATTCGTCTGCTTTTCGAAGTAGATTCTTCACTGTCTGAACACACCGCTCCGCCTGACCATTCGATTGTGGAAATTTTGGACTTGATGTGTTGTGAACGAAATCCCAATCGGACGCGAACGTTTTGAAAACGTAACTTGAGAACTGAGGTCCGTTGTCCGTAAATAGTTCGGTCGGAATGCCATGACGAGCAAACACAGATATGAACGCAGTGATTGTCTGGAGACTGGTTGTGGTAGGCATTCGGACAGTAGTATAAGGCCTTTCAATATGGTCGCACTTTCCCCCAATTCCATTTCATTCCATGGGGAAAAGTGCAACCATATTGGAAAGCCCCCCCAAAAAATCTAAACACCCTACATTTCATAAATTCTTACACTAAAAAAACCTAAACACCCTATATTTAATAAATTCTTACACCTATACACCCTACATTTCATAAATTCCTACACCAAAAACACCTTCAATCAATTCTTACATTCCATCAAAAAAGCATATTAAAAATACCCTTATATAAAATAACTTCCTTGTTTCGCTTCACATCCGGTTTTTTTTATAGCCTCGTTATAAATAATGTTATTTTTTAGTCTAGAAACTTCTAGAAAACAGACCAAATTAACTCATTATTCGGGCGACGGTATCTTTTCATCAATATTTTCTCTAGGTAAAACAATAATTCCAAAAGTAGCTAGCTTTGTTTCAAACAACAAATCACCTATTTCATCCGGAGCGAAAGCCCTCGGCTCAATCGGGAAAGAGTATAAGCGACACAGTGAAACAATCTAACGAGTTGAAAGAATTACAACTAATAAGAGATCTGCGAAACAGGAGATTAGAAGAAAGGAAAGGAAAAGGTTTTAAAGTTATAGGATAAAAATGATTGTCGCTCACGCTCCTAAAACTTATTTTGGAGATATACAAAAATCATTGGGTTCTCTTCCTGTATTTCCATGGGCGAAATATCCTGGAGAAAAACATCTTCCTGGTCATAATTACACTGGTCAAGGTACTAGGTTAGATCTGCGATTAGACGAAAACGATAAACCCAAACCGAATGAAAAACCTGTCAATAGAGTTGATGCCGCTGCGCCTAAACACGACTTACTATACAGAAACAAAGACATAAACTTCAGACACGAAGCAGACAGACAAATGATTATCGAACTTGAAAATATTCCAAATTCAACTTTCAAAGAGAGAATGCAAAGGGCTCTAATCATAAAACTGTTAAAAGCAAAGATGAAATTACGCATGGGATTAGCGGATGAAATTCATAAAGAATTTAGAAAAACTAAAAACTTTTTAAAAGTCAAAGTGTTTGAAAAAGATGAAATATGGTCAGCCGATTTAATTAATATGCCAGTCGAAAGAGGATATAAATATTGCTTAACAGTTATAGATTTGTATACGAGATATGCATGGGTTATTCCTTTAAAAAATCAAAACAGGATTATCAGTCTAACACGCATTTGAAACGATCATGAAACAATCTAACCGACATCCAGAAAAATTGTGGGTAGATAAAGGAAGTGAATTTTATAACAAAAATATGAAATCACTTACAGCACGCATAATGAAGGTAAAGCTGTAGTTATTGAGAGTTATAATAGAACTCTAAAAAATAAATTATTCAAAAAGTTCACGGAATTGAAATCTCAAAAATGGCTTAATATATTACCAGAGGTTGTAGATGAATACAATAACAAATTCATTCATCTATAGGTGTCCACCAACACAAGCCTCTAATAATCCAAATATTATAAAGTCAATTAAGGCACAACATAACTACGAAAATGAAATAAAGAATTTAAATATCAAACCCAAATTTAAAGTCAGAGATTGAGTTCGTATTTTCAAATATAAAAGTAAATTGGAAAAAGGTTACGTTGGATACTGGACAAACGAAATATTCATCGTTGATAAAGTAAACACCACATCACCTGCACCATATGAATTAATCGATCAAGATAAAGAACAAATCATAGGTAGGTTTTATCAAAACGAACTTCAAACGACTTTTAAAAATGAATGAATTTCTCGAAAACAAAGATAATGATGAAGAATTTGATAGAAGATTAAGAAATTTAGACGTAGACAAGCATTTACGCTTTCTCAAATTTAAATTTTTTAAATTTAAATGTAAATTTATGTTCAAAATATTATTGAATGTGTTTTATCAGAATGTTATACAATTTTTTTCAAACACAAACTACGTATATATTTCATCAATTGGGTTTTCAACAATACTTACCGCATACTCCTCAAAAAACCGACTTTTAAAAATGAATATCTTTCTCGATAAATATGGAACCGATACAACACAAACTTTCAACTTATGTGATGGGCGAATGAGTTAAATATATCACCGTTTTATTATTGTATGAGCGATGAAATAAATGATCTCAAATATAAGAAAGGTAAATTTTACGCTATAACAAATATACATACTTCCGATCAAAAAGGAGTTCATCATTCTGCTATGGATTAGAACCAACTGAAGAGATAGTGCAATTGACTAATAAACCAATCAAATGTTCAACATTTCAAATTCAATTACCGGGACAAAAATTTTGTGGACAGCTTTCACTTTGGGTTTTATATCAGTTGAGTTTACGAAAACAGTTTGAAGGAATTATAATAAATTTAACTCAATAAAAATGGCGAACAACTTTGGATTCGGTTCCTTATCTTTAGAAACTAAAAAAAACCTAACACTACAGCGTGGATAAATAAAGCGAAATCTTACTTTGTGGATCAAATCGAAGACACTCTTCAAAGTGATTTAGATATGAACAATTTCAAAGTAACTAATTTAAAGTCTCCGGAAAACGATAATGAAGCCGTTCACAAGAAATATTTACGGGAACAAATAAATCCAATTGAAGTAAATAAAAACCATTTAGAAGATAAAATAAGTAATGTGAAAAGATTCTTCAAACGTCAACTAGATAATAAAAAATTTTGTTAATGAAACTAAACTACAACAAGAGGTAGCAGGTTTAATAAGTTTTATTCAAAAACAATTAGTCAACGTAGTAAACAAAACTGAGTTACAAAATTTAATTTCATTAACATCTAAATTAGATGATAAGATTGCAAAACAAAAATTAGACATTCAACAATTAATAGATAACATTCCAGATGAAAATGAAGATACGTTTCAACAGGAATTAAATGCTCTGGAAACTAAACTTAACAGCGAATTACAAAAAGAACTAAGAAATATTAAACAACAAATACAAAACATAGATGATAGCGAAATCAAAACCTATATTCAACAACAAATACAAAATATTGATGATAGTGAAATTAAAACCTATATTCAACAACAAATACAAAATATTGATGATAGTGTTACTCAACAACAGATAACCACTATTAATAACCTAGTTTTAAAACAGGACAAAAATATAGTCGCATTAGAAAAGTATCTCAAGAAAGAAAATAAATCATATTATTTTAGTCTTCCATTTGGAAGTTTGAGTAATAAAGATGCTTCTATTACTGATAATATTGATAGATCAAGAGACTATGAATATAGAAAATATGGATTTACAGCAAATATTAGAGTATATAAACATAGTGGTGATAATCCCTATGAAATGTTTGTTAGTGATTATTCTAGTGTTATTATTTTCCGAGGAAAACTTATAATTGAAATAACTTTTCCTTTTCAGGTAAAAGTTGATTCAATATTCTTCAGACAAAACTTACATATACCTAATTAAAAATTTAACGCTCAAAAAGTTCTTAAGTGTATCAATGGTACAAAAAATGAAGAAATTAAAGAATTTGAAATTAACTACGAAAACAGCAGGAAAGATCACTTATATGAAATTAAAACGAGTGAAAAATATATAGATAGGTTTAGAATGTTAATCATACCAGATAAAGAAGAAGATGATCTTTCGTTTAGTGATTTTGATATGATATTGGAGACGGTCCAGTCCACCATCAGTAAGTATTATTAGAAATCTAGAACCACAAAAAGAAGGAAATATGAGTTATGACTTTTTACGAACGACAGACTTTGAATACGTAAAACTATATTTTGTTAATAATAGTTATTCATACAAATATACCTCTTCAACTGATTTATTTACCTCAATCGATATTCATAAAAGTCAACAAGATAAAAGAATTTATAATATTTTCATCAATAATTGAACGTAATGGTAGATTAGAAGTTGCAGGTATATATACTTATAGATGTATGATAAAAATCAATATCGAAAAACCAAAATGTTCAGTTCATCTGATTAAGATTAATGATTTGAAAGAACAAATATCGTTTGTTACTGTAGAAGTTTTTATTATTAAACCTGAAATAATTATAACAGATAATGAAAAAATACTGCCTGGTGGACATCTTACTGGGCATCCTATTGTAGATGTTAAACACTTTCCATATTTTGCTTTATCAGAAATTCATTTAATTTAAATACCTAAAAAAAGGAACTAGAAAGCAGACAAAACTACATGATAGAAAAACAAAACGAACTAAAAGAAAAACTAAAACACTTCAACAAATGTAGAAAATTATGGAGTAGAATTGATTCTGTTTTCAAAACATTAAGCACAGTTCTAACAGTAGGGATAACGGTGGCAACAGCCGTAACCGGTGGATTAATGCTTCCAATAATTGTCCCAATTGTATTAGCCGCGTTCACTGCCGTTCAAACTTCATCTTGTGAATTGATTACTTTAGGTTTTACATCAAAACAGAAAGCTCATTATAAAAAGAAAACAGAAATTTTAAATACATATCTTAATAAATTGTTTATATTTTTCGAAAGATCGAGAGAAGATAAGAACATAACCATTGAAGAATTAGAAAAATTCAATGAAATTTTAGATACATTTGATGTAGAAATATCATCTATAAAAGTTAAACATTCATAGTTAAAAATAGTTGCTTAAAAAATATGAATAAAATTGAAATTTTAGACGATGAAACATTCATATCAAATATTTTTTCAGTATTATTAACCTTATCTCTGATAAATTTGATACATTTAAAGGACAAATTGAATTAGATGGAGAGATAATTCAGGATGGAGAACACTAAACAAAAAATGGAATTTGTAGGCTTTAATGCCAAAACTTTTCGCAATTTCAAGTATCCGAAGAATTAGATTGGGTATTTTACTTACATAAATCACATTTCTGTCTCATTAGAAGAAATAACAAAACCTTAGGCATTACAGAAATAGAAGATAATTACGATGAAAACGTATGGACAACTTGTAGAGATGATAATGCTGTAACACAAGTTTCACCTCTAAAACTAAACGTTTTTCCAACAATTCACGGTGATTGTTTATACGCATGGGATTGCGAAACCTATAGCGAAAAAGAAACGAATAAAGCGATTCCTTATTCTTGCACGTTAATTAATTTAGAAAAACTAAGAAAAATGTTAGAATAAAACATAACTCTTTCCACATTTAAATCCCACTGATAATGTACCAGAAGAATTTTATAATAAATTAATGAATATAGTAGAAATATTTGTGGGTAAAGATTGCATCGATCAAATGTTTCAACATTTAGGAAAAATAGATCAAAGAAGAATAACATTAATTTCTCATAACGGTAGCGGTTTTGATAACCGGATCGTGCTTGAAAATTCGAAAAAACTAACGCAATGTCCACTAGTAACAGCTAGAGGGATTCTGTCTCTACTTTTAACTAATTCATTCACCGATGAATATTTACAGAAAAAATGGAAAAGACAAAAACAAATAATGGGCAACTCTAATTATTTGCAAAATATTAATTTCATATGTTCCTATCAACATGAAAAATCTAGTTTAGCGGCATGGGGAAATTCATCTAATCTACCAATGAATTTGAGAAAGATCACCGATATTAATATTACAAAATACACCGAAGATAATTGGGAATCTGTAAGACACGAATGGGAACCTTACGCTAAAAGAGATACGTTATGTCTTGGAGCTTGTTTGATAATATGAAAGAAGTTGTATTCCAGAATATTTCCAATAATCTAACTGCTCCTTCTTTATCTTTTGGTTGGTATTATTTATATCATTATAATAAAAAAAAATGGTTGAAGAAGAATATAAGATATTTCATCTGACAATCCATTAAAGGAGGAAGAGTTTCAGCAAATCGAAAATCATTTGAAACGAATAAAATGGATGAAATTTGTAATATATTAAAGGGGTTTAGTGAAACACCAAGTGATAATATAATTGATTTATTTAAAGAGTATAGTAAAAGTAAAAAAGATAAAACGGAGGTTAATTCAAAACTTAAAAAAATAAAATGTACTAAACTAATGGCGTTTGATGCTAACGGTTTATAGGCTTCCGCCATAGCGAATATCCGAGAGTGGAAAGTGGTAGACCGTTTCCACCGAAAAAAAATAAAGAATTTGTTAAGCTCTTTAATGAGCAGAAATTCAGACCTAGAACGGCTATTTTAAAAGTCTGGTTTGAATATCCTACCAAGATGTTCTTCCAACCCATACCAACTAAAGATAAAATTATTTTTACGAACAAAGAAGGTAAAAAGGAAACTGGCACTAAAATCAGGTTCAGAAATGGTTCCTGTTCAGAGGTTTTAACATCGATCGATATCCAAGAAATAGTTAAAGCCGGTGGACGAATTATTAGAATATTAGATGGTATAGTAGACGAAGAAAATTTTAAAACTCCACCATATAGAGATTATATTTTAATTTTGAGAGATCTAAGAAATAAATATTAACGAGAACGTAATATCGTAGGTAGTAATTGTATGAAATAAGTGTAACGAATAATTGTTCTTTATTTGTCATTTTTATTGAGTAGGATATGACCTTTCCGATTGGACGCATTTAGGCTTAAAAACCCTCAATTTTCACGTTTTTTTTTATGTCAAAATGACTTTAAAAAAACCGCCCAATTCCACGTCTTTAGGCCTAAATGCATCCAATATGAAAGATCCCACACCTAATTTCCATCATAAATATACCCTCTCATATTCGAAAGCATTCTTACATCCAATATGAAAGCTATATACTATATGAAATCCATCCTCACAGCAAGATTTGTTTCATCTGTTAAATTAGTTTAATTTTAAACCACGAACCTCACAAATTCGAAGATGATTCAGGCGACGGTATCTTTTCATAAATATTTTCTCTAGGTTCAAAAATAATTCCAACAGGAGGCAGTTTTATTTCAAACAACAAATCACTTATTTCCTCCGAGGTGCAAGCTCTGGGTTCTATCGCAAAAGCGGGAGTTAGTATAAGCTACGCTGTGAAAAAGTCTGGCGAATTGAAAGAATTACAGCTAATAAGAGAATTAAGAAACGGGCTTTAGAGAAACAAGAAAATGGTTTTAAAGTTATCGGATAAAAAAGTCTGTGATAATTGCACAAAGTCCCAAAACTTATTTTGGTTCAGGTTCATAATTACACTGGTCCAGGTACTAGGCTAGATTTACGATTAGACGAAAACAATAAACCCAAACCAGGTAAAGAACCTGTCAATAGAGTTGATGCTGCTGCACTTAAACATGATATATTATACAGAAATAAAGACATAAAGTTTAGATGCTGAAGCAGACAAACAAATGATAATCGAACTTGAAAATATTCCAAATACAACGCTCAAAAAGAAAAAGGAAAGAGCTCTGATTATAAAGCTGTTAAAAGCAAAGATGAAATTGAGTATGGGATTGGCAGATGAACTTCATAAAGAATTTAGATAAACTAAAAACTTTTTAAAAGTTAGAGTATGGTCAGCTGATTTTTATTAATATGTCAGTCGAAAGAGGATTTAAATATCACAAATTCCCAAAAATGGGAAAACAATTAAAACTATATTATTGTCCTGTAATTTGACGTTTCGGCTAATTGCCTTCTTCAGAAACACCCAAAAAAGATCTCGATCACATCTTTTTCCGTTATTTTACTAACTATTTAAAGTTTAGAATACTCAAACTGTTTGATGGTTGTCTCGTCAAAAAGTTTATTTACGACGTCATTTTATACGCCCACATCTCTCAATGTGGACATATATTGTCGGCACCCCTGCCCATCCGTCCGTCAACATTTGCTTGTGAACGCTCTAAGAACTAGAGTTTTTGATGGAATCAAATGAAATTCGTTATGTGTAAACATATCTATAAAACGAAGATCAAGTTCGAATTTGAGCCATTTTCGACCGTTGGAAGCAGAGTTATTGCCTTTGCCCCAAAATCTTGAATATGCTATTACTCTCTTAGTTTTTAACCGATTTTGAGAAAACTTAAAATGGATGTTATTGGACATAAATAGAAAGGTTTAAGAAAGTTTAGTTTATTTCTGATTAAATTTAAGGCTTTTCAGGCCTCTTACGTCAGTTTAGAGGAGTTATCTACAGTAAGTGCATCTATCAACATCAATTGCTCGTAACCACTCTAAAACTAGATTCATATACATATTCATAAAACGAAGATCAAGTTCGAATTTGAGCTAATTTCGACCGTTAGAAGCATAGTTAATGCCCTTGCCCCAACATCTTGTTTTCAACCGATTTTGATGAAACTTTAAATGGATGTTTCGTTTTTACCATCCGCATGCCGTGGTGGGCGTATATGGCTATCTTATCTTTCGTCATGCCGTTAATAGTCCCTCTGCAGAAAACCAACTGAGCACTTCTTATTCAACACATTTGGATCCTCCGTTCGCAATCTCTTCATCCAATCACGTTCCTTGATGATTCTCACGTTTCGCGCTTCATCGCATATCCTTTCCAGCATAGCGTCCTTGGTCTTATGTCCTTCATCGTTGAAATGCTCTGCCACTGCCGTCCTCCTTTCTAATCTTATGTCTGCCATGTGTTCTTTTATTCGTTCTCCAAGGGTTCATCTCGTTTCTCCTCCATATACGGGTTTTCTGCATATATCGCAGCTTAGCGTATACACCACATTTCTCGTCTTGCACCCATGAGTCTTGTGGTTAAGTTTGAAAGTTGTCTTTCCATCTATAGATGTTATCTTGCCTTCTGTAGGTATCTTATTACACACTTCACATTTCTCTGAATCACATAAGCTCTTATCATTCCGGGCTAAAATTTTGTTTAATTTACCACGCACTAATATATCTCCCAGGTTCCTTTCTCTTCTATATGCAATTATCGGTGGCTCTCTAAAAATTCTTGGCATTCTTTCCGATTGGTGAAGTACCTTCATATTCTTCCTTACTGTGTTGTGCAGGTTTGGTAGGTCTTTCGTATACGTTGTTACTAAACGTGTCCTTGAATTATCCTTCTCGTTATTCTTTCTAATTCTGAGGAGCTCTTCCCTATCCATACCATCCACTCCCGACAACTGTCTTTCGATGAACTTGGGAGCTGTTCCCTCTGTTTCTCAGTTGCTGTTTCAGGTCTTTTATATGCTTTTGGTATTCTTCTTCGTTTTCGCAAATTCTTCTCGGTCTTATTGCTAATCCATAGGGTATGGCTTTCTTCACATTCTGTGGGTGACCTGATTTGGCCTGTACATACATATGCTTATCTGTTGGTTTCACGTACAATCCAGTTGTTAACCTATCTTCCTTTCTCATAACCATCACATCCAAAAATTCAATACTCTCATAACTCCATCGTAACTCTACTTTTATCTTTTCATGTATGGTGTTGACTTCTGCTTGGAATTCTTCTAATTCTGCTACTGTTCCTGTCCAGATTCCAAACCCATCTTCTATGAATCTTTTATAGAAGTGTATATATGCTTCCTTCTATCCTTGGCCTTCAGTTGTTCATCCCACTTTCTCATATTATGTGCATGCATAATTCTTGCCTAATTGGGATCCTATTGCCACTCCATCCCCTGGAAGGTAATGTCTACCGTTGAAAGAAAAGTTGTTGTTTTCTAGGACCGTTCTTATCATCTCCATCACATAACTAGTCGGTATATCAGGGTTATTGCGAATATTTAAACCTTCCTCACAAGCTGCTAGCCCTTCTATCTTAGGTACGGATGGATACAGACATCAAAGCAAAAGAGAATCGCATCCTTGGGTATTGGTTGTCGTATGGTCTTCAGTCTGTCGTGTCTCTGACATAACTGTCTGTCCCAATCACAAACTCTTCTAATTCTTTCTCTGCTATTTCCGCGAATCTTTCCGTTGCCGTTCCCTGTCCGTTGACGATGTGTTGAAAGGGGTTGTTCTTCTTGTGGATCTTGGGGTTGCCTTTAAGTAGACCGCTAGTAGGGTATTTTGGTATAAGGTACTGTTTTAGATCCCTGTCTATGTGATCGTTTTTATGTAATCTGTTCGCTATGTTCTTTACTTTCGTCAGAATTTTATCGGAAAGATTTACGATCAGGTTGTTTTCTTCCTTCTGATCCGTTGACATTATTACTATTCACTGCCTGTCTGTATATCGGTTCACCCTGGTACTTAGAGCTCTTCTAAGTTGTCATATCAAACCAGTCTGTAACGTTCCCTTTTATCCAATCAGTATCGGGTTCAGGTAATTCGCACGTACAGTGTTTCTTGTCAGGGATAAAGAGGTTAAAGTGGTTATTCCAGTGCGATATAGCTATCCAGCCTGCGTTTGGTTTACATCCTTCCTTGTAGTTAATATCGAAACAAGTGTACGTCTGTCCCTTTTCTCCTGAACTCAGAATCAATAGTTTACATCTGAACCCACTGGAAGCCACAAGAATCTCCGCCTCAGTTGCCCATGCCGTGGACTCCCCACTTGTAATAAGTTGGTCTTGTATATGCTGGTTGAAATCCTCATCGATTAACGCTTGGTAAACCTCATGATTGGCATCCATTCTACGAACAATCTTCTCTCTAATTCTTCTGTGATTCTCTTCATGTACATACAGAAACACACTTATACATCTAAAGAAGCAATTCCCGTCTCCTTTTATATCAATCTGTTTAAATTCTTCAATGCCACAGTCTCTCTTGTTATCCATTAATTTACTTTCAAATCTGAAGAAGCTGCAAAATCGCTTATGTTGCGTTTGGGCTAAATTAATGTCAGTAACCCTGAACAGCAATAAAATAAAAAGCGTGGCAGCCATAGACCGAACTATTTTAATACTGAACAAATTCATACGCCCAGGTGGACTTTGTACACATTTTGATTACATACATAAGAAACGTAAATACATGACAGCTTACACCTGAAAGAAACATCTTGTGTTATATCTCTACTTGCCTTGTCATATGGTAATAAACCACTTCCTTTTGCCTCCCTTAAATTGGATCGAATATCTGAAAGTAACCTGCCTTTATGATTCATCTTGTTTGCACATTCATCCAGAATGACATTATGCCCTACTGATAATTCAAATTTAGACTTATCTGATTCTATCTCTTCTATCTTTCTCTGACAGCTCTTCATGACTACATCAATTAACTTCAATGGCGCGTCTCTTCTAATTCTCTCACATCTTTTAATAAGATCTTCTTGACTATCCAACTGCAAATTCCATTTGAGTTTAAATCCTTTTGGTATCAATTGTTATCTGAACCAAAATTAGTTTTGGGACTTTTGCAATTATCACAGACATTTTTATCCTTTAACTTTAAAACCTGTTCCTTGTTTCTCTAAAGCCCGTTTCTTAATTCTCTTATTAGCTGTAATTCTTTCAATTCGTCAGACTTTTTCACAGCGTCGCTTATACTGACTCCCGCTTTTGCGACAGAACCCAGAGCTTGCACCTTGGAGGATATAAGTGATTTGTTGTTTGAAATAAAACTGCCTACTGTTGGAATTATTTTTGAACCTAGAGAAAATATGAAAAGATGCTGTCGCCTGAATACTCTTCGAATTTGTGTGGTTCGTGTTTTAAAATTAAACTCATCTTATTTTTGATTGAATTAATTTAACAGATTAAACAAATCTTGCTGTGGGGGTGGATTTCATATAGCATATAGCTTTCATATTGGATGTATGAATACTCTCGAATATGAGAGGGTATATTTATGATGGAAATGAGATGTGGGATCTTTTATATTGGATGCACTTAGGCCTAAAAACGTGAAATTGAGCGATTTTAAGGCCTAAATGCGTCAAATCGGAAAGGTCATAATTATACTAATCAATAAAAATGACAAATAAAGAACAATTATTCGTTATAACCTCAAATAAATCAAACATTAAATTATATCTAGATCATGAGTATGAACTTGATCGGAATAAAGAATAAGAACCGGGATTAAAGTATTTCTCTGTTTACAATTCCATTAGAAATATCAACGAAGATAATAACCAAAAAAATATATCAACATATAATGGATTTCGGGGAAGGGAGGGTTTGATTCTCCCAAATGTACAGGCCTAGGGTGGAGCAGACACTTTATTTAGAAATTGGGATTAAGGGTCTTGATATTGGGTTTTCTACTGTTCTTATTCTGATCTGAAATTAGAAAAAATAACTCGCCCAATGGGCGAGAAGTATAGTATCTGTTATGTACTGATTTGGATTTGCAAAGCCAGTATTTGCACATTACCAAATTATCGGCTATAGAGGTCGTATTTATGGATCGATATTCTTCGGAATTTCATTTTTGGAATCTACATATAATCTGATAGATAGTATTTTAAAATTTCAAAAATCGAAAATTTGTCGCACACATTTTTCAGTCGAATTTTGCAATTTTTGACCAAAAAATCCGATGGATATGAAATGTTTCGTGCAATGATAGATTATAAAGTAAAAAAAAATGGTATAGGCGGGAAAGCGATTCTAACTTGCAGTTGAATAACTTCCGGTGTTATAAATAAATGTCAACAAAATTTTGCTGATGGGTAGCCATTGTTATTCTACAGCCGATTTTATAAATACTTATTTCTTGAAATGCGTCAAAATCTTTTCAGAGATATTATGCGATTTACATGATTTTGATGTCAAATGAAAGAAGATGGAACTGTAAAAGCCCGATTTTTGATTTTCGCTTTTGCTTTTTTTCAATTTCCGGTTGAAATTTTTAACAGTTTGAAAGCTCATATTTCGTGACCTTAACCATTATTTGGTCACAGGCATTTTACCTTGACTATCAGTTGATTCTTTAATGTTTAACCTTTGAATTCTACTTTGGGTTTTATAGCTGTCCAAAAACAGCCAATTTCCCAATTTATACTGTTGTAGCTCGTGACCTTTATAGTTTTAATTATACTTATTTAATGCTAAATAGAAATTCGTGAATTTTGTACAATATTTTCTCTTTTTTGAGCTGGGTGTATGTATATCTTATGACCTATTTGATGTAGAAGCCTGAAATTCGGAATACGAGACATTTCAAATATGAATTAACCCATGACAAAAATGTTGAGGTGGGCGTGGCACATCCGAGTTTACTTATTATTTTACATTTTCATCAGGGGTATAACTCGTACTCGTTCAAAATAGGACCTTGCACACATTACCTCACCCTCTTGACCAATTTGTGTAAAAAGGTCGGCTGTTTCAGCTTTGTAATTCAAAACAGAAACAGGGTTTGAAATTTGCATATTTTCAATTTTTGACCTTGACCTTTGATGACTGATATCTCGTGACCTTTACCTTAAATAACCTTCCCTTAATAAAGTCAAAGGTTATTCACCTTGGAAATCTGTTGATACTTTCATATTTGATGTCTGGCGCCTACTTCCGGTTTCACAAGCTTCCAAAAAGAGCATTGTTCACAACTTTTGACTGTTTTAGCACGTGACCTAATTGGCCTAGAAGGTTGATTTTTTTCAGATTCCGTAGCAAATTGGCACATCAGCAAAGTCCCACTCAGCACCAGTGGTTCTAGTATAGTTTCAGTTTTACAATAATTATCTCACGTGAAATCAAATCAAACGCTAAATCAAAGAAAATAGAACCAACCATAAGACTAGAACCACTCGTAGTACTGAGTGGGACTTTGCTCATGTGCCAATTTGCTAGAGAATCTTAAAAAATCAAAGTCACACAATAACACTATTTTGTAGACAATGGTTTTGTATTTCCATCCTATAAGTGAACTATGGAGTGGTTCAGGGAATAGATAATTAATGAAAAGTACTTTTTTTTAAAAAATGGCTTTAACTATTTCAATGTTTAAATGACTTCCAAATTTAGGAGTTTTGAGGTAAATTAAAAAATAAGTAAAACAATTATACAATATCAGCATTATAAGCCCATGATCTTTTACACCTATAGCAACGTAATAGGTTGCCATAATTCGGTCACAGATTCATTGAGGCTTCTCGTAAGATTTTTGAAAGAAATTTCGTCAAAATAGGTACTCTTATTTGTGAAGTGAGCCGGTAGTAATAACCTATGATTACTAGCGCTACAACCGGGATTTAGTCGAATGATTTTCAATGGAGGCATGATCAAAATTGACGTATGTTCAAAACGGGAATATTGACATATGATCGAGAAACGTGTTTGTTGTCGTACTACGACTATCCAAAAACCATTAACTATGTATTCACTGATTGGTAAGATACCGTTCGGCTTGACCGAAACTTTACAAACTTTCTTCTTACTTTTTGAAAATAAGGCACAACACACATCTCACTGAGGTTAATTGGATAAATTGGGTTATTAAAATGACAATAGTCGAATCTCTTGATCGGTCAAGAGAGAAAATTTTGTCCTATCATTGTTAATTGCTAAGGTCGTAGTTTCCAATTCATATTTAGCTACTAACTTGAAAGTGGATTTTGATAATAAATTGGTAAATGTTCTTGGATTTCTTATAACATTTGTTGTAATTTCTTTGGTACAATTACCGATGGACTTAAATGACAACATATTTAGTTGGAGATTTATAGAATCGGAGAACAATTCAGCCTCTAATATTGCGGAATTGTCTAACAACTCCTTGTAGTTTAAGGTCTAATTTTCGTAAAATACTTGATAAGGTATTAATTTGTTGTCTATTCGCTGCAACGTGTAAACGTGATATATTAATTACAGACAGACTTTCGCTCACAACATGTTTGATAGCTTGTTGATTTGTAGCCAAAATGTTTATATTACCCCTAATCAATTCGAGGTCGGAGTTACTAACTGTGCCAAATAGCCAAGTAAGAGCTTTGCCTACAAAGGGTATCAATGCACGTTTTTTCCAGTTTGAATTCTTTGAAAGTGATCTGTAGTCTCCAATGTCGTCCAAGAGTCCTTCAATTTCATCCCGTAATGTCACTATTTCTATTTTCATTTTATCAAGCGTCAACACATATTCATGTGCCATATAGTTCTGTATTATTTCGTCAACCGTCAACAGTGTTCGTGCAATATCAATAGACAGTGTATCCACAAAATTTACATGTGGTTTCACATCATGAACTATTGTTAAACGCCAACGAGAATTACTGGGTGAGATTTTTTTCACTGGTCGAAATAAGACATTCTTATTAACCACGTTACTATCCGTCACATCTATTGTCAGTAAACATACGAAAATTGCGGCAATTAACATCACCGATCTGAAAGAGAACAGATCAGTTCAGTGAGTTCATTGATGACCGTATGATTATAATATATCAATTATCTTTAATAATGTCAAGGGGTTATTCATATTTTACTATATTTAGTGACTCACGTAATGTCAGACAGAGAACGTTGTCCGTTTCTCTGTGTTAACCATATACATTTGTTATCCGCAAATTCAACACGAACACATCTTACTTGTTAACCTCATAGCGAGAAGTGTCCATGAACATAAAATCTTATCAGTCAGTTATCTATTTCGAAATAAATCTCTCCCGAACGAAAGCGCCCTCTCATTCTAGATAAATTTCTTCGGCCGTTACATTACTGATTCTTCAGACGTTGAGCCTACGTTCTCAGCGTCGTCCATTATCTCGTCATTTGTTTGATCTCCTCTATGTCGTAGCCGCTGAGCTAACTCATACAACAGTATGCCTTCTTCATCAGAAGAAGAATATGCTAGAGCGTGCTTGTAACGATCTACTAATCGTGCTAGAGGAGCATCATGGTCACTGTCTTTTTGAGAGTATACATCGATTGTATCGCCAGATTCGTTTTCGGATCCCGAGTCTGTCCGAGTCAGAGGGTGGTACAACATATTTAGATCTCCTTAAATGAAGATCATCAGTTGGGACCTCCCATTCGTCTATATTTGCCATGCGTAATTGGTCAGCATGAACTTTTGTAGTCTTTCCGTCAAGTTGGTTTTTTATAATGAAAGAAACTGCCCCCCCCCCCCCCCTTTGTTCAATGGTGCGAAAATAAGGAGACCAACGACTGTCCAATTTATTTTTGCGTCTGTGGTTTTTATAGTATACCGGATCACCGATTTTGTATTCAACATATTTAGTATTCTTATTTAGATAGTCTGCTTGTTGCTTTTTAACCTTCTTCATATACCTATGTACCTGGACAAACATCTTGTGTTGGTTTTGAAAAGCGATTTGTTCGTGACTTGTACCGTAATATTTTCTACGGGGTTTTAGAATGTTGTTACCATACGTCTATAGTAACTCATTGCGCCGATAAATGATCTCACCTCTTTAACACATGTAGGTTGAGACATGGACCTAATGGCTCTTACTTTTCTGTTTCAACCAACAGTCCATCGAGTGTGATTTTGAAGCCTAGATAGGTTGTTTCATGTTTTAAAAAGAAACATTTTTTTAATTACAAATTGTGTTCATGGAGTCGTTTAAATACTATATCCAAGTGTTTCATGTGATCGTCTAAATTTTTAGAAAATATTAAAATATCTAGATAGGCAACTGCAAAGTTATGAAAGGCCGTCTAATACAATACTCAGAGTTCTTGAAACACCTCTGGAGAATTACTTATTCCAAAAGGCATGACGTTAAAGTGAAATAGACCTTTGTGGCATGCAAATGCCGTTTTCTCTTTGTCTTTGCAAAAATCCAGAACGTAAGTCAGGCGTAGAGAACAGTTTGCATGAATTTAACAGTGCCAGAAGGTCATCAATCGATGGCAGTGGAAAATAGTTAATTTTAATGACTTTATTAGACGCCCGATAATCGACGCGAAACCGCTTGGAACCGTCTTTCTTGTCCACTATTACTACAGGAAATGAATATGGAGAAATTGCTGATAATTCCAGCTTCTAACATGTCATCCACGGCATTTCCTACTATTTCCCTTTTATTAAGAGGAGTACGATACGGCCTTAATTTTATCGGTTCAGCGGTCCCGATATCTATTTTCATTTTCACCCAGTTTCACTATTTTCGCCAATGTCCTTAAAAATGTCATGGTCTGTGGTCACGCCGTTTACAGTTCTTTTAATGGAGTCTAATTTAGTTATATCTCTATTCATAATTGGGTGTGCCTGACCAATCAAACAACCTCTTTTCAACTGAATAGTTTTGTTAGCTGTTTTTATTATCGTCACTGGGATTTTAGAATTGTGATCATTATCACTGTCAGTGGATACAATCGAATTTGTCAACGATACTTGGTTGACTTAAAATGAACCCCTTATTAATACTCTGTATTAATACAGCTGCTGTTATCCGCAGCAAGGAGTTGACATGTGCGTCCTCTTCCAATGGAACATAAGTCCCATCGAATCGTAAGCTTTTTAGGTCATAGTTTAGTTTTATACCTTTTTTCCACTAAAAAGTCGCGTCCCATAATCAAGCTTCGATTCATGGTCGATACTACGTAAAACTTATAAATTACTTTCCCCCCCCCCCCCCCCCCCCCTAATCCGAATTGAAAGTCTGCAATTGACAAATTTTCTCCGTTTACAGACTGGAGAGATATGTTTTCTTTTCTTAATTTTGGTTTGTATGCCAATGTTGTATACACGCGTCTGTGCATGAGACTGACCTCTGCGCAAGTATCTACCAAGCATTCTTTTCAATTTTTATGATACATGAGATATGTTTATTTGAAATGGAGTTATTATTTCGCTCTCTTTGTTGGCTGGGATACAAGGAGAGTTTATTAGTTTCCCTGATATCTATCATTATTATTATTACTTTTAACAGCTTTACAGTTTTGAGCGATATGTCCGAGTTTATTACATGCGTGACATCTCCTGGGTTTAATATGATCAACCTCCATGGGAGTGCGTGTTTCAACATGAGATTGAGTATCTTTACCAATTCGTAAATTAAATCGCTGTCGAAAGTTCTGATCGGCCATAGCCGATGCAACAGCAACCTGGAGAGTGGATTTTCTCGCATTATTCTCAGCCGCAGCCCGCCGACAAAGAAGCCGATGAGCTGTCGCTTTAGCTCCAAGGAGCTTGTTCCCTAATAAGCCTCTGCAGCCAAAAGCAGGAGCCTCTCCCCAAAGCATTGTACATTTTCATCTTTGTTTTGTTTTATTTTTCTCAAAAGAGTCAAGACCTCTGCACAAGTATCTACCAAGCATTCTTTTCAATTTTTATGATACATAGATATGTTTATTTGAAATGTAGTTATTATTTCGCTCTCCTTGTTGGCTGGGATACAAGGAGAGTTTATTAGTTTCCCTGATATCTATCATTATTAGTATTACTTTTAACAGCTTTACAGTCGCGTCGAATATGCCCTTTCCGTCCACACGACCAACAAGTTATTTCTGTTCTGACAGCGTTTACCTGTCTAGGTTTTGACCTAAAATTTTGAGCGATATGTCCGAATTTATTACATGCGTGACATCTCCTGGGTTTAATATGATCAACCTCCATGGGAGTGCGTGTTTCAACATGAGATTGAGTATCTTTACCAATTCGTAAATTAAATCCCTGTCGAAAGTTCTGATCGGCCATAGCCGATGCAACAGCAACCTGGAGAGTGGATTTTCTCGCATTATTCTCAGCCGCAGCCCGCCGACAAAGAAGCCGATAAGCTGTCGCTTTAGCTCCAAGGAGCTTGTTCCCTAATAAGCCTCTGAAGCCAAAAGCAGGAGCCTCTCCCCAAAGCATTGTACATTTTCATCTTTGTTTTGTTTTATTTTTCTCAAAAGAGTCAAGGCGTGTAGCGCGTCAGTGACCTCGCTGAACCACATCGCCAATTCGTTTTTTAGTCCTACGTAATCGGAATCAGGGTTTGCCTCTAAGTATCTTTGTATGAAACTAGACACTATGCCCCTGGAAGTTTGGTATGCAATAAATTTCATCTTCTCGTTTCCGATTTTTGCAAGGACTGAATAATTCTCAATTTGTTTAATCCAGTCCCTGAATTGTTTAGGGTCTCCCGAGAACGGTTGTACGATGTGCGTGACACTCTGTGTCGCCATGTTATCGGTCAATTGACCAATTTGAATTGACAACGATTTGAAAAATTCTTCCCCCATTGTGTATATAACGAAAACAAATAACTACTCACGTTTTTCTTTGACTTCCTTTTCGTTGTTGTGTCCTTTGTTTATTCCCGTCCGGAATCCTGGCCACGGCACCAATTAAACAACAGTGTTGGAAAGTTTGTTCTGTTACTCAAGCTGTGTTCGTCTACTGGTTTCTTCTTGTAAATAATCAGTAAACGGTTTTCACAATTTTATTTAGTGGTAGTAGAAAAAGTACAGTAGTGGAATATAGCTACGCTTGGTCTTGGGATGTCCTTACGACTAACGAGTACTCTCTGGTATCCTCAGTGGTACTGACTCAACAAACTTTCACGTTGGTTGGCTTTTAAAGCCATCCCAAGACAAAGTTTACAAAAGAAAACTAAAAGAAAACCTTTGAATTAAAAGGATGTAATTGGCCCTGGAATTCGACTAATGGTCAATTATACCTTAGTAAAAGAAACGTTTCATTTCATTTTCCCTTCACTTTCCAACTGACCGAGATTATACAATATTGACCAATTATTCTTCAATTTGGAAGGGTAGTTATTTTGATGTGAATCTTGGGGTCAACAAGTGGACAAAAAAGTGCGTGGGATAGTAAAAGACAACAACCCAACTATTCGCTTAAAGCGATTCGTTTTGGAAATGCATTAAGGTGCATTTTCCAACAGCTGGCGATTTTGATAAGTGGTTATTTTAATATACATTTTGTCGAAACATTTACTTTCATCAAATTAGACGTACAGTAGTATCTTCTGCGAACAAATATTAAAAGACTATGGTCCTACGATAGAGCCTTGGGGAACACCATTTGAAATAGAATGCAATTAATTACCATTAATAAAAGACCTCTGCTGTAAATACGATTGAAACATAGAAACACAAAGATCTTTGTTATTAAAGGTGTCATTAACAATTCATGTGAATTTTGTTAACGAAGTTAAACATGGATAATGAGTATTGAAACCAGACTGATTTAAATTATTATTTCAATTATTATCTGAAAGAAAACTATTCAGAGATTTTGAAATATGTTTCTAGAGTGGTTTTGACGGTAATAGTGAAATTGGACGATAGTTATTAGACATATCACACTTGATATTTTGATCGAAATTGCTATTCTTAAAAATTGACATTGCATGCAAATAGGATATTACTGAGTTCCTGATAAAGGTATGCATGCCTCGGCCTTAAGTTTCCAAAAAAGGAATATGTTTTACAATTTGCTTAATTTTTAATTTTTGACTTTAACATGGATGACATTGACCTTTGCAAGGTCTAAGGCCATTTACTTATGATGTCTTCTCATACTTTAATCTTTGATGGCCGACATTTACTTCCAATGTTACAAACTGTCGGAATTTTTAAGATTCATATATCTTTTATTTGACCTTTATTGACCTTTTAACCTGAACAAAAGTATTGGCGAGATCTATTCAAATATATCTTAAATTCCGTTGTGCGATATTTACTTTTATTTTTACAGAAAAAAATAGATCGGAAATATACATTCTAACGGGTTCCATTATTTGGTGAGAAGTAAACACATGTAGCAGATTGGCCAGTAGGAGATAGACAAAATAGCATCGGTCAGTTTCGTTAGTCTGTTCTCCACACACGACCTAGGATCAAGATATTAAATGATGTTTACGTCTGATATTGAGTAGGTTTAATTAGTTGTTTCTGGTGTATTATTACGATGTATGTCTATGTAGATTTTATCCTAATATTTCAAGTATAGTGTTTAAGAAATAAAAAAGATACATTTCGTTTCAAAAAACTGGTGAAAACCATACTCCGAAATCC